TAAATACATTGAGAACAGAGTTGCCCACATAGATCCTCACTCCATGATACTGCTGACCGGCAGTTTGTTTTTCTAGCAGAAGTTGATGGGGTAGGGATTGTTTGATGTATAGAATGCAAGAGTTACTGGATCTGAGGTTGTAAGAAACAAATGAGGGTAATTTTGAGGGTGAGGATCTTGCGGGAACTCTGCACTCCTGGAGACATACAATATCGATGTGTTCAGTTGTTACTTTGTGATGTAAATCTGAGAACCTTTTTTTGAGGGACGCAATGTTCCAGATAAGGATGGATAACTTAGTTATTTGTGCACTTAAATTCAGCATTATATATTGATATTATTAGTCCACTTAATATATATATATTATCTATTTCACTATGGTATAAGTCCAGGAACATTTCTTAGTTTATTACCAATGTCACACATTTGCCTCCAATTGTCTAGTACAATTTGTCGGTCATTTCCAGCTATAGAGTCGTTTTGAACATAGTTTAGCATAACTTTGGCAGTTAACTTGCGTGGAAGGACTCCTCTACACAAGATTTCAAGATCACTAGAAGTTTCCCCTGATAGGCAAGCGAACACATGTTTGGAGGGTTCAGGGGTGGAAGGGAAAGTTTGGCAGTCAACCTTACCTTGAGGTTACCTTGAGGTGCTTCCGGGGCTTAGCGTCCCCGCGGCCCGGTCGTCGACCAGGCCTCCTGGTTGCCGGACTGATCAACCAGGCTGTTGGACGCGGCTGCTCGCAGCCTGACGTACGAGTCACAGCCTGGTTGATCAGGTATCCTTTGGAGGTGCTTATCCAGTTCTCTCTTGAACACTGTGAGGGGTCGGCCAGTTATGCCCCTTATGTGTAGTGGAAGCGTGTTGAACAGTCTCGGACCTCTGATGTTGATAGAGTTCTCTCTCAGAGTACTAGTTGCACCTCTGTTTTTCAACGGGGGTATTCTGCACATCCTGCCATGTCTTCTGGTCTCATGTGATGTTATTTCTGTGTGCAGGTTTGGGACCAGCCCCTCTAATATTTTCCACGTGTAAATTATTATGTACCTCTCCCGCCTGCGCTCAAGGGAGTACAGTTTTAGGCTCTTTAGTCGGTCAATGCTTAAAAGTCCCCTCATACACGTGAGCATCATCGAAATATCGCTGGTGGATTTTTTCTCATGTTGGAGCTGCTCTTGCAGCCTCTCCGTCTCCTGCTGTGGCTGTGACAGGTAAAACTTTGCTTTTCTTGAAAAACAGCGCTATACTAAATATGTTACAATTCAATTTCAATGTTTCTGATTGCATTGATAAATTGAATTTTCCTAGATTTTTATTATTTTCATTTTGATTTAATTATTTTGTGTGAATTGCATTGGAATTGAGCTGCGTTGTTTACCATACCGTTCATTTCGTGAGTTTAATTTATTTTTTCATTTTTTCATATTTTCATTTAATTTTTTAACTGTTTTTCTTATATTTCAGTGATCGGAACATTTGATCACTTGATGTTCCCTATTTTCTGATGAAAATATCAGACCATTTGGGAAGGCATCGGACGAGGGAGTGGGGATGACGAGGGGATGGAAGTGAGAGATGTTTTTTTTTATTATTATTATTTTCTACCACGGACGTGGCCACACATTTACAATGCTAACCAGCATATATACATTTTCTTCTGTCCTCCATGGACAGGGTTAGAGATCAGTTAAACATATAGTTCAAGGGTTTATTGAACACTCAACCACAGAAGGTGATTCGGTGCTTTTAAAATGCTAAGCTAACCTACATACGTAAATACATAGATACACAGATTTACGTATGCCCTACATAAAGTGATCAAAGTGTCATTAATGTGCATTTACAAAGGTGAAATGCAATTCTGATCAGCTTCCATATGTACTTTATACACATATATATACACACACACATATATACGTACATATACATATATACATGCATATATACACACACATGCATTCACATACATTTGTCTCTTTTACTCTGACAGGGTGAGATAGCTGACAGAGAAACTAGTGTGCAATTAAGCACTTAATCACTGAAGTTGATTAAGGTGCTTTTACAAGCTCAGGTTATATAGTTACATCATATATATACATTGCATAATTGATACATTACATGGTCAATCTTGGGTACAAGTCCAATATATCATCAAGTGTTCCAGTACTCATATAGTAACTACAGAGTTCAGCATACCTTAGCCCAGGGGGGCGAAAGTCAGTCAGTATGGGACATTCTACAATATAATGTTCAAGAGAGTGCATGTTTTCTCTTTCACAAAGTTGACACATTGTGTACTCGACATTTGGGTTTTGAGAAAGCTGCCAGATACGTCTATATCCCAGGCGTATTCTAGCCACTATAACATCACATTGCCGGGTTCTTGTTCTATTAGTCCCATATATGAATGTCTCCTCACGATATCTATCATAATATTTAATGCTACAACTTTCAGGTCTTTGTGAATTTGTTAGGTCGGTGAGATCTTCATTAGATATTTGTTTAAGTATTCTCTTTGTCACTGCTAATGAAACACCCATATCAATTTCTACCACTGGTTTTCTACAGGCTGTTTTTGCAAGCATATCAACAGTGTCATGCCTTGAGATGCCAACATGTGATGGTATCCATAGGAATTTAATTTCAAATCTGTTTTCTTTAGCAGCTAAAACATTCATTCGAATATCACTGACTATTTTATGGGTGTCACTACTATGTGCGTTCAATGCCAGGAGTGCACTCTGCGAGTCACAGTATATAAGTCCACTGCCTTTGTCTTTTAAAAATTCAGTGGCAAGGTATATGCCTGCAAGTTCGGTTTGAGTTGTACTTGCCCAGTCATTGACGCGCTTCATTGCTGTATGTACGAGAGAAGATTGTTCAAATATATTGCATGCACATCCGGTACATCGTCCACCTTCTACAGAGCCGTCGGTATAGCACTGATACACATCGTTACCCCATACTCTGAGTACTTTCAGTGTTAACTGTTTTAATAATGTAGAGTGCACACTATCTTTCTTGGGCGCATTTACAAAATCAACTGATAGATCCCAGTTATCCCATGAAGTAATTGGTTGATTAATCATTAATTGAGTTGGGTACATATTTAATATTTTGATGGAGTTGGCTACCTTGTAGAACCAAAATACATAATCAGATTTCGTTCTTCTTCTATAAACCTCAGGTGAGTGCAGCATATTAGAAAGTTTAGCTTGAAACTTCATGTGTTGCCTAGATCTACTCAATGCCTTCACACCGAAAACTGTGCTAATAGACAAAATTCTCTCACTTATGGTCGGTAATTTTAACTCTGTTCTCATATTAAGTATTCTCGTGGACTTTGGAGCTCCAAGGATGAGACGCATAGCTTCATTTTGCAAGGTTTCAAGAGATTTCAGATCGTTGTCAGTATACAGTGTGAGATGTAGAGCATTGTAAATCACAGAGCGTATAAATGATACATAAAACATTCTAGCAAGCCTCATGTTAATTCCATGATTGACACCAACAAGGACCCGCAAGGGCTTTAATCTCTCCCACAGTCTCCTCTTGAGAGAAGAAAGGTACCCAGGGGTCGTTAATGGGGACACCAAGGTACAAGAGTTTACATACATTCTTGTAAAGCCACTAGTACGCGTAGCGTTTCGGGCAGGTCCTTAACCCTAACTTCCCCGGAATACGACCCCGCCGAATCGTTTAACAACCAGGTACCCATACACTGCTGGGTGAACAGAGGCTACAGTTAAGGATTGGCGCCCGGTCAATCCTCCCCGGCCAGGATTCGAACCCAAGGCAAGGCGCTTGCGAAACGCAAGGCGAGTATCTTACCACTGCGCCACAGAGACTGCTGTGGTATCTGTAAGACTGCTGTGGTATCTGTTAGACTCGCAGTTCTCAAGTGCTCGCCCATCTATATGATAATTGGGTGGTGGAATACCACATGGAATGAGGGCACGAGTTTTCTGTACAGAGATAAGGAGGCCACATTCCTCAGCTCTAGTAGCAAAAGCATCGAGCAGAACTTGCATTCTAGGCTCGGAGGCAGCCTGTAAACATATATCATCAGCATAACAAATGACAGTGTCTTCATTATTAGTTGGAAGATCTTTAATCAGTTTATGCATCAGAACGTTGAACAACAAGGGGCTGAGGACCCCTCCTTGTAGAGTTCCCAGTTAAAAGTGTTTGCTGTCTGTGCTTTTAACACCATTAAACAAAACATATGCTGTTCGATTAGACAAATAGCCCTTTATCCATTTCAGTAATTTTCCCTTTTTTTGGGGAGTAAAGAGGAAGGAGAGACATAGGTGAAGGGAAGTGTAGAAGTGGGAAATACAGTGAGAGGTATGAAAGCAGGCGGGTTGTCCGCCTTGCTGACACGATGTGTGGGTGTTGGCAGCTAAGCTAAGCTGGCTCCCTCTTGTCAGGGAGCTGTGAGTGTGTGAGAGGTTCTTCACGTGTTTCACAAATTTCCTTGTATTCCCAGCTCGGCAAGCTGTTCTGACGAGGGGACAAGGGGTTCTGACGAGGGGACAAGGGAGGGAGGGAGGGGGTAACGGTGGGGAAGGATGAGGGGACGGGGGAGTTTGAGATAGTGGGGACGAGGGGATGGGGGAATGGAGAATGGTGGGGAGGACAAAGGGACAGGTGAGTGGGGCATGATGGGAAGGAAGAGGGGATGGTGGAGTGGGAAATGGTGGGGAGGACGAGGGGACGGTGGGGTGGGGAATGGTTGGGAGGCTGAGGAGACGGGTGAGGGGGGAATGATGGGGAGGACTAGGGGACAGGGATGGTTGCTGTGGCTCAGCAATGCATGTGCGTTGCTGAGCCACAGCAACGTGTGGCCGGGTACTGCTAGTAAATAAAATAAATAAATAAATAAATAAATAAATAAATAAATAAATAAATAAATAAATAAATAAATAAATAAATAAATAAATAAATAAATAACAACAAAGTATACCCAAGTATCAGCCATAGAAAACGTTGAAAGTGCAGCAGCGTGAAGAAACGATCTACCGACGACATCAACAGATCATCACTCGTAACGTGTCCCACGATCGTCGTCGTCCCTAAATCGACACAACAACTCGTTAAAGTGTCACAACCTTCACCAAAATTATACTTATCATCAAGAAATAGAGAATAATCAGTGACCTTAGTCCAGTGTCAACATCACGCAGGTGTTACCTACGTACTGTGAGTGAGGCGTCGTCCAACACCATTTGCAGGCTTCCGGAGGAGAAGAATCTTAACAGAAACTGCCGGTGCTGTGGAGTGGGACCTGCAGGAGTCATCCCGGCCGACGTGCCCTCGGCCAGGGGCAAGTTGCTTTACAGTGCACGGTATCACTGGAGACTAGGCCGCCACCGTACAAAGTGTGTTTCAAAGACGAACGCGCTGCAGAACACCATTTACAGTTGGTGCAAGTGTAGCAGCCACAAGTTGCATCTCGCGAAGCCCCATTAGCGTAGCCTTGTTTGCTAGCAAGTTTATCAGAGGAGAAGAAACTGGTGCTCATAATGGCGGAAACTATATCGCTTAAGCTGGATCATAAACTCCTCAATCCTAATTTTGATGGCTATAAATTGTTTTCTGATGCAGGTGTGACAGTGTACACTCAAACATTAAAAGAAGGTTAGTTATGTCTCATGATTTTTTCTTTAATTACATAAGAACATAAAAGTGGGAGTCACTGCAGTGGACTTATTGCCTACCCTGGGGATTCCTTCTAGTTGCAAATCCCTCTCCTTCATGCAGCTATAAAGCCTATTTTTAACCCCTCAAACTTTGTACTTTTTTTTTTTAAGCCCCTGTGGTGGTTACTGCTGCTCGGTTTAAACTTGGCTGTAAATATCTCTGGGAATTTTCATTATCTGCTGATTTAGACCTGACCAAATGTAAACTGCGCCAACAAAATTATTCACACATCCTCCGTCACTATGTGATGGAGTGCAAAAATGTACACTATGTGAAGATGATGATGAGTCACAATAACGTGGCTTAAGATATAATGACCAAACCGCACATCAGAGATGAAGAAAAAATGTTTCGGTCCGTCCTGTAAGGACGACTTATTAATTTATAATAATTCATTTAATTATGGTTCGGGATGGACTAAAATTCATTGTTTCTTCACCTTGTGATGTGTAGTTTGGTCATCACAGTATATGAATTTAGAGACAACTCTCTAAAACAAATGATAAGAAATATGTAAATATTTCATTCAAAATTATCTTCCAGACGTTTTAGCCAAATATCCCCAATTTGCGAACTGTAGGTGGTAAATACTGTACATTAATTTTATTTATTTATTTATTTATTATTTATTTATTTATTTATGTATTAGTTATAAGAAGGTACATTGGGTTTGTGAGAGTACATAACAATGGTGATCTTATATTCTTGCAAAGCCACTAACATGCATAGTATTTCGGGCAGATTCTTAATCTAATATTTAATGTAAGATTATTACTAATCTTGCCTTATCTTACCTCATATAAGATAATAAGAATATTACTTGTAACAAAATTTGAAGATTATTATTAGGTACATTGTAAAAAAAATTGGGTTCAACATAATAACTACAATATAAATTGATGGCAATGATTACACTTGTGAAGTTGTATCCCTTAAATACTAAGATTAGAGGAGTGGGTAGCACAAGATACAGTGTGAGTTTGAAGCACAAGTTTGAACTATGAGGATGAAATTAGGTATTTTTTTGTTTTAATTTTGAATAAAGCATAGGTTGGACAAGTTTTTAATTTGTTAGGGAGTGAGTTCCATAGACTAGGTCCTCTTATTTGCATTGAGTGTTTAGTTTGACTAAATCCCATTCAAACACAGATTTAGTTTGACTGGGAATATCAGATATTTATTTCTGGTGTGGGTCTTCTGGGTTCTATTACATCTGTCAAGGAAGAGTTTCAGATCTGGATTTGCATTTAGGAACAAGGTTTTGTACATGTAAATAGCACAAAAGAATGTGTGGAGTGAGTGAATGTTTAGCTTGTATGAGGATTTAAACAGAGGGGGCTGTGTGTTGTCTGGAGATAGAGTTTATTATTGTTCTGATAGCAGATTTTTGCTGGGTGATGGTGGGCTTGAGGGAATTTGGAGTTTTTTTTTTTTATAATTATTTTCTACCGCAAACGTGGCCACACATTTACAATGCTAACCAGCATATATACATTTTCTTTTGTCCTCCATAGACAGGGTTAGAGATCAGTTAAACATATAATTCAGGGATTTATTTAACAATCAACCACAGAAGGTGATTCGGTACTTTTAAAATGCTAAGCTAGGTAATTTGCAGTAGTTGAACCATATGCACAGATACGATATGTAAGATAAGAATAGATTAGTGAGTAGTATTATGAGAGAAGAGCAAAGTGGAGAACATAATATCTGATTTTAGAGACTATACTGACAGTTTCTGTGGGGAGCACCTCCGGTTCCCTGGAGGTATTGGACTGATACATGCTTTATTAGTCTGGGGCATCAGTCAATGGAGTTCAGCCTACCAGGGACCATGATCCAGAACCTGGCCCCCTCAGAAAGGCACAACGAGCAATGGCCTATGTAACCCCCCAGTGTATTTGGGAGCATTCCATTGTCTGCCATCGACCGGGGTTAGACACCCAGAAAGGTAGGCATAACAAAACAGACCCCACTTGGTAAGAAATTACAACTGAAGCCCGAACAGAGAGGCAGAACTCTTCAAACCTACAGAAACAAGCAAACGTCATACACCTCCGCCTCATCGCTTGTCCGTGCAATCCTTCTTTCCTTGGGAAGGGGAGGGGGAAGCCCCGGATCCCCTGCACCAGGTACTCGCACCTCAGTTCATAGGCTGATGCGCTCTGGGGCGGTCGTCAACTCTGGCCTCGATTTCTTGGCGGATTTTGTGCCTTTGTGGTGTTTCCTGCTATTTGTAGTGCAGTGGCCAGGAGTAACTATATACTGGGGCCCGCTTGCACTTAGGGCTACCTTTCCTATGCTCCCTGTAAGTACTACCCTTGGGTTTTAGGGTTATCTTCCATAGAGTAGATTTCACTTGCTGCTCGGCATTTACCCCTCCCTTGGGGCCAGTCGGGTTTTCGTGGCCTTTGTTTGGTCTTGGGTAGGAAGTTGTGGTGTTGCTGGTTATGGCGCAAGGTGCTGCGCTATTCGCTTACCTATGAGGTGGCTGGTTTCCCGTTTCTTCTGGTGACGTTGTACTTTTACGTGTTTTTTCTTATTTTTTCTTATTTTTTCTTATTTTTGTTTTTCTTGTCAGGAGGGGATCTGCCTTGTTTGGCTATTAGTCAACATAAGGTATATTGGTGTCCTCTAGGCCCCTGTGCTTGTATATGTCTTAGGGGTCCTGTTAATACCTGGTTGATACCTGGTTGATGCAGTTCTGGGAGTTCTTCTACTCCCCAAGCCCGGCCCGAGGCCTGGCTTGACTTGTGAGAGTTTGGTCCACTAGGCTGTTGCTTGGAGCGGCCCGCAGGCCCACATACCCACCACAGCCCGGTTGGTCCGGCACTCCTTGGAGGAATAAATCTAGTTTCCTCTTGAAGATGTCCACGGTTGTTCCGGCAATATTTCTTATGCTCGCTGGGAGGGTGTTGAACAACCGTGGACCTCTGATGTTTATACAGTGTTCTCTGATTGTGCCTATGGCACCCCTGCTCTTCACTGGTTCTATTCTGCATTTTCTTCCATATCGTTCACTCCAGTACGTTGTTATTTTACTGTGTACATTTGGTACTTGGCCCTCCAGTATCTATCAGGTGTATATTATTTGATATCTCTCTCACCTTTCTAGTGAGTACATTTGGAGGGCTTTGAGACGATCCCAATAATTTAGGTGCTTTATCACGTCTATGTGTGCCGTATATGTTCTCTGTATTCCTTCTATTTCAGCAATCTTTCCTGCTCTGAAGGGGGAAGTGAGTACTGAGCAGTACTCAAGACGGGACAACACAAGTGACTTGAAGAGTACAACCATTGTGATGGGATCCCTGGATTTGAAAGTTCTCGTAATTCATCCTATCATTTTTCTGGCTGACGCAATATTTGCTTGGTTATGCTCCCTAAACGTTAGTTCATCAGACATCATTATTCCCAAATCCTTTACATGCTGTTTTCCTACTATGGGCACATTTGATTGTGTTTTGTACCCTGTATTATGTTTAAGGTCCTCATTTTTACCGTACCCAAGTACCTGGAATTTATCACTCTTAAACATCATGTTATTTTCTGATGTTCAGTCGAAAACTTTATTAATATCTACTTGAAGTTTTTAAATGTCTTCAGCTGAGGTAATTTTCATACTGATTTTTGTGTCATCTGCAAAGGATGATACGAAGCTGTGACTTGTATTTTTGTCTACATCTGATGTGAGAATAAGGAAAAGCAGCAGTGCAAGGGCTGTACCCTGAGGTACAGAGCTTTTAACTGCGCTCAGACTAGATTTTATATGGTTGACCGTTACTCGCTGAGTCCTGTTTGACAGAAAACTGAATATCCAGCGTCCTACTTTTCCGGTTATTCCCATACCTCATACCCCTTTGTTAGCTTTTGGGTTTAACTGGCTAGCAGTACCTTGTCTGGACTTCCTGTAGAAGACATCCCTATGGACCCTGGAAAACCCCGTCGGGGCTCGGTTAACCGATGGATGTGTCTTCCGAGTGCCACCTCGCCTTGTGCGAGTTTGAAGGTTGTTCTGTGCCCTTGTTTCAGGGTGACAGTCACCTATTTTGCCTCCGTCATGCTGTCTGTTGGGTCAACAACAACTTTGACCTGGAGTCTTGCGAGACATGTTCTCTGCTCGTTCTCCAGTTTACCCATTCTATTGTCACTGAGGTTCGGGTTCAGGCGGCATCCACGTCACATGCCCGGTTTATTTTGCTGCACTGCGTTAGGTTAATTGCCCGCTCGGATGCCCCGGGGCTGACCCGTTTTGGTTATAGGGACCATGACTTGGGGACGTTAGTCGCTTCGACTTTGGTTCAGTCTGCACCCGCAACCCCTTTCCCGGTTGGCGTCATTAACCCTGGCGTCATTAACCCTGCTCCCGGCTCCCAAATGTCTGAGGGGTTTCGGGGTTGGAGCAGGGTTTACTTGGTGATGAGGCTCGGGCAGCTCAGGGCAGGGGCTGCCCCATTCGAGCCCATTCCTCCTGCCGAGGCTTCTGGGTTCTTCCAGCAGACCCCCTTCTTTGTTGTCTTTTCCCTGGATTCTGAACTTTTCTTCAGGGGTAGAGGGTGCGGAGGACGGCTCTGCACCAGGGCCTGGTTTGGAGGCTTCTGGGGCTGGGGAGGAGTTGACTTGGGGGGCTTGGGCCCCCTTTGATTCCCCCAAAGGGCGAACCGCAAATCCCTCCCCCCCCCAAAGTTCTGGCTTTGGTTTTGGTGCCCTCTTTGTGGTGTTTGTTGTTGCAGGGGGAAGGGTTTTCTTAACCCCCTTCTCTTTATGAGTATGATTTGGGGTCGGCTCCTCTCCAGGTTCGGTTCCGAGATCCCTTGGGTACCTCAGCTTCTTTTTTCCGGTGGTTTTCTATCTCTCGAGTCCCTCCAAAGGAGGTTGAGGAGGCTAGTTCCTAATGTGACCCAGGTTTTGCCTCTGTGATGGATCCGTCCTCGTTTGAGTATGGTTCTTCTTCCCCATATTATGTGCGTTGTGAGGTTCTGGAGATATCTTGGCTTGCAGACTGCCCGTTCTTTTCATTGGGCGAGTGGCATGGGTTCTGTCAGACCCACACACTCGAATGGCGAGAAACTTCTACATTTCTACAGGCTTACCTGGAGACGGGGGGGGGGGGGGGGGGGGGGAGGAGGAGTTTGAGCACCTTAATGCGTGCTTATTCTCCCCCGTGCTTCCTCGTGATGTACAGCTGCACATGCAGGTTCCTACCCTTTCAGCATCTGTCGTTGCTGAGGATATGGGCATCTGTGAGCATTTGGCTTTGGTCTTGCGCTTCTTTTCCCTTTTCGAGCTGTCTTCAGCCTGGCTTGAGGTGGATGTGGAGCCGGTGAGTGCCATGTCGTGGTGACCCATCTGCGTCTGCTAGGGGTTCTGGCCTACCTCAACAACTAGTTCATGTGGACTCCCAGCCAGTCTGCTTGTTTGCTCGCCAGGGGTGTGGTTCTTTCCCAGCTCACCAGATTCAGGTTCATGGTGACTTCCTAGTAGAAGTCTCTCTGGTTTCGTCCTGGGTTCAGACCTGGCTGGGTCTTGTGTGAGACTCTCGGACCACTTCCTTGTCTCTCCCTCCAGAGGCATTGCTGTGGCTATGGTCCCACATTCAGCTGTTTCTGGGGGTTTTCCGGGTCACTCGGAGGTTGCTCCAGCTGTTGTGTGGGGGTCTGAACTTTGCCGTTCTGGTTTACCCGCTGGGAGAGGTTTGACTTCAGCGTCTGTTATGGTTCCTTTGGGAACGCCACTTCCGCCTATCTCGCGATTGTTGTGTTCGGCCCCCGGGGGTCTTGCGTCAGTTGCTGCATCGCTGGCTTCCTCTTCAGGTTTTTTATGGGTTTAGTGCCTTGGTGCTAACCCGAGCCCTTGCTCGATGTGTTCACAGATGTGCTGTCTCTTGGCTGGGGCTTTGTGACCAGTGCTCACTGGGCCAGCCAGCAGCGGTGGGGTCCGTCGGGCTCACAGCATGGTGCAGGAGTTCACGGTTGTCTGACTGTCACTTCGGAGGGTTCGGGTCGCTCGGGGCTCGACCATTCAGCTCCATTTTTAGCCAAACTCCTTCAGTTGGCTCTGCTGTACATACGGGCACCCGGAGGTTGATCTCTTTGCGTCAGCTTGGTTGCGGCATCTCCTGATATATGTGGCACCCTTTCCAGACCGCGAAGCCTTCTCAGTGGACACGTTTTGGCAGGACTGGTCGAGGTGGGGATACCTGTACCTTTTCCCCCTTTTTCCAGCTGTTGCTTCAAGTTCTGGCTCAGTTGAAGTTTTACCATGGGAGAGTAGTCCTCTTGGCCCCTTGGTGGCCGGCCCAGCCTTGGTTTCAGGCACTTGTTGCTTGGTGTCCAAACCAAACCCAGGGCATTTTCCGTGGCTCCGCCTCTTCCAACAGATCAGACCGGTCCAGTACTTGGCTGGTTCAATCTTCTCTGCCGCTCTTCACGTCTGGTCTTTTTGATGTGGGTTTATCACCATTTGTATGGTGATCAGGTGGCTTCATTGGAGGTGCCCCATCTGAGAGCTTCGTTGAGCGTCCCATCTGAGCTCTTGCCCATGACGTTAGGAAGTTTGCTGCTTTTGCTGCTGTCTTCGGCAATATGTCTTGGGCTGATATTCGGGGGCGGGGATTTTGGAAGTCGAACAGGGTCCTGGTCGCTTGTTATTTGGTTATCATTCCAGGTCCTGGGCATTTGTGTGTAGCTTTGGGTTGCTGGTTGCAGCCAGTTGTCTCGCCTTCAAATTGAGGAGCTTGTAGTGGCCGCTTCCCGGGTAAGTCCCTCTTTTCCTTATCTTTGGTTATGTAGCTTCAGAGAGCTGAAGGGGCTCCTCACAGAAAACCAGTGTTGAATGTAATGAACGCCATTTTCTGGGTGAGCCCCTGTAGGTTCCCTGGCAACCCTCCCTCACTCCGGTCGGCAGTTTCGTTTTGCTTTTAATGGTTAACCTCCGAACTGCGGTTGACTAGTTGTCGCGATGGGTCCTGAGCTCCCCCCCTCTCCACTCTGGTGGGAAGTGTGCTGCGTGGAAGAGCAACACGATGGAGTGGTGTGACGTTTGCCTGTTTCCTTGGGAATTGAAGAAGTTCTACTTCCCTGTTCGGCTTTTAGGTTGTAATTTTCTTACTGTGTGGGGTCTGTTTTGTTATGCCTGCCTTTCTGGGTGCCTAACCCTGGTCAATGGCAGATAAAGTTAACCCCCAACCAACGGGTGGTTTTCCAGGGCCATTGCTCCCTGCGCCTCTCTGAGGGGGGGGGGGGCCATGTTCTGGCTAGTGGTCCCCAGTAGGCAGGTTTCCATTGACTATTGCCCTGGTCTAAAGATTCCATATTAGCCCAATAGCTCCAGGGAGCCTCCAGAGCTCACCCAGAAAATGGTGTTTCATTACACTCAAAGCTGTTTTTTTTTTTTTTTACAGGAGTTGGAAGAAGAAAAAGCTACTCAAATTGTTACTTGCACACAAGATTGGAAGCACTTCACAACCATCTCTTTGGAGACCCTTTTCATCCATTGTCTGTATACTACTTCAATAACAGAGGTCATCTTGTCAAGTGTAATTATTCAGAAGTAAGTGATAGTTATGTAATATCTGTATTTCTCTGATAGTTTTTTCTGAAGCTACTAGACACTGAGCTGCCCCCCCCCCCTTCCCTCACAGAGGCACATGAAGCAGTGACGTTTATTTTTGCCACCTCCATGGGAAGGGCAACTAGGGAGTCGGTGAGTCAAAACAAACCAATGCTGACTTCAAAAGAGACTAAAGCTTCAAAACCCGCTTTGTTTAGCTAAGTAGTGGTGCTTGCTATTGGTGGCATTTCCTGTACACTGTGGTTAACAGTGTACAGGAAATACCTCCCTCTCTTGGCATGAGCCAAGTTTTAAGTGGGCTTGGAGCTGCATGTGTGCAGGGTTATCTTCCCCGTGTGCTCCCTAGTGCTAACCATTGTCAAGGTTATCTTTCTTAGCGTGTTCAGGAGTCGCTTCCTTAGAGGTCCTCCTTACTTGTGGGAGTCCTCCCTGGGTGAGTTAGGTGTCTTGGGACTTTCCTGTCATAACTCAGGTTGGGAGCAACTTTTGTGGGGAAATCTACTGGTGATTGATTTGATTATTAATTCAAGACATTGTAATTAATTGTATAGTATTTATTAATTCTAAACGGACTGTATTTTATAATTTATTTTCACCAATAAACGTCTATTCACATTTTGGGGGATTTCTTAGTTTAATCTTACTGTAATTAAATGGTAGATTTAATTATTAATGTGTTATAGATCACACTACTATTTGGATAAAATGTATATAGCCTCAGCTGTTTCAGTAGTGTTGGCTGGTCATCCAACATCACATGGTCCACCACATGTACTTCATCCTGGACCTGTATTAATGGTGGCTGTTGGTTGTGGGATGGTACAGTTCACTTAAGTATCATGTTCCCTTAGTTCTTGCAACAATTAGTGATTAATGTGAGTCACATTGCCCTTTGGGATTTGCTGGTAGAGTTAGTGGTCACGTGGTAGGCTCAATGTCGACTCTTAACAACCTTGTTACGTGTCAACACCCCAAGTTCAGTCACAATCATGGCTCCCTCCTTCCTCCCTCTCTCTGCCTCAACAAAGGCTTGTTTACATTCTGAGATTCAAAAGAAGGAATGGGTTTGAAGTCACATCTAAATATTTACTATATAATTAATTTAGTAGATTCATTGATTGTTGCTGCTGAAGGCAGCTAGTTTATTGTGCACCCCATACTCATCCTGTGAGTGGTAGTGCAAAAGCATTACAGAGGGCACAAAAGGTCTTTATCAGACCTCATCTTAGATTATTACGTAAACAATTTCATCTGTTCTTCACACCTTATAGTTACAATGTCAGCTAGTTACAGAGAAAGCACTGTTTCAAGAGCTATATATTTACAGTAAGTCATCATACATTAATGGTAGGTCTTATCGCTAATACATAATAGTTTGACCAATGGGGATATTACAGAGTCATAGGGGAGCTTCTGTTTATTATTAGTCCTCACAATACATTACTTGATTCTGAATCTCATATGTCGTTTATCTACTGGAAGCGAAATGTGGATACAGTGCAAGGATTTATCCATGGTAATAAGATAGGTTGCCATATCAAGGTTGCCTTATCATACAGAGTGAGCTTAGATTTATCTCTAAATGGCTCAGTTTTACTACAATCCAAGATATAGTGTTCGAGTGTGTGTCCCTGTCTTTGTCCACACACTTTACTTCATCTAGATCCCTATACAAGCCGAACTGCCAGAGATACTTGTAGCCAAGCCTTATACAAGCTGTGACAACATCTGTTAGTCTACTCACTTTGTTACTTGCCCCATACACATGTTTTACTTCACACATTTCATTGTGATGAACAATGGACCTGCTAGTTCCAGTTTGCACTGTTCTACTTTCTTCAAATTCATTCAGGAGTTCTCATCTAATGACACTTTTAAGGGACCTATTTGATAACTCAAGATTCCGTTCAATACAGGCATACCTCAGAATAAGAGTTTAATCCGTTCCTGGAGACGCCTCGCCTTCCGAAAACTCGCATTCCGAAGTTAATTTCCCCATAAGAAATAAAGGGAAATGAATTAATCCGTTCCTGACTACCCCAAAAACCCCACATCAAACTAAATTTTTATACCTAATTTACCTAATTCATCTAAATAAACCTACAAAACTGTGTTCCAGTTATTACTTACCTTGCTGTCGAGTGCTGTAGGCGTATGGAAGATGGTGAGGAGGGGGGAGGAGGAGAGGAGTTACTGTTTGGAAGGGGAGTCCCCTTCCATAATCACATCACATAACCCCATGCCTTGTAACACTATGGATACCACTTCTCTTTCTAAATTTTTCAAACCAGCCCCTGCTTGCCTTAAACTCTTTCTTATCTGCATCACTCGTTGCAGGGGTATTCTTTAGAAGGTCTTCGTGCAACACCCTGGCTTTCTCACAAATAATGGCCTCCGAAACACTATCACCCCTCAACTCCTTGTCGTGTATCCAAATTAATAACAACTTTTCCACTTCTTCAAGTATTTGTGGTCTTTGTGCCGTTAATGTTCTTACTCCTTTTGCCACTTTAGCACCCATAATCTTATTTTTCTTCTTAAGTATAGTGCATATTGTTGATGTGGCTTTGTTGTACTGCCTACAAAGTTCAACAACACGTGTACCGTTCTCATGCTTCCGAATGATCTCTTGTTTCTCCTCTATTGTCATCCTCACATGAGCTTTCTGGCCTTTATCCTTACCACTGGCTTTCTTGGGACCCATGGTGAGATATATAATAACAAATTGTATAGACAAATCACCAAAAATCCAACAAAACACTGAAAATCCGCGAGAAGAATTGATGTGGGGGTAGTCACTGAGCGCGAGACAATAATAAACTGAGGGGCGGCGGGGCGGAGGGGCGACGAACGCGCTAGGTCGGCTGTACGCGTATCAACAAACTCGCGTCCAAACTCGCCTCCCGAAGTAACCCTCGCCTTCTGAGACAAATTTTTGGAGTAAATACACCTCGCCTTCCGAAAACCTCGCATACAGGGACAATCGCATTCCAAGGTACCACTGTACTGTCTTTATTTATTTATTTAGCCTTAGCAAGGGCGTCAACTTTGTCATGTTCCTGCAGGCCAATGTGAGAAGGAATCCACAACATTTTTATATTTACCCTCTTGCTAAGTATTCTTATATATCAACGTCTAGCTTCCAAGACAAGCACGTTATTACTTGATTGCAAACTGTTTATTGCTCGTAGTGAGGAAAGGGAGTCAGAAATAATTAAGCTGTCTACTTCAGTGTTGTCAATAATTTCGAGTGCTACCAGTATTGCTACCAACTCGGCTTGCATTGTGGACGCCCAGTTACTAATTCGGATATTCCTTTGAATTGTGCTGCCATCAGGCTGATGAGCAATAACAGCACTTCCTGCCCTCCCTGTAGCTGTATTGAGTGATCCGTCAGTGTATATGGTCTGCGCAATGTTGTTTTCAGCTTGTATATTGTGAATGTGTTCTATGGTGCTTAATTTAGCAGCAAGCTGAGCATCAGGGTTGTTTGTGATTAGTTTCTTGGTGGGGTATGCAGGGGTCAGGATGTCAAAAGGTACTATCTGCCAGGGTGGAAGGAAGTGCTGTACTCTTTCATCTGTATATACATCGTGCAGTCCCATCATTTTAATATGAGTGGCTGTTTTTTTAATCCATTTAGACCCGTTACTTCCATTTCGTATGTGTTCTAACAGTGCAACTGTCACAATGTTTCTTTTGTTATCACGCAGAAGCTTTAGTCCCATCATAAGATTAATTTCAAATATTCTGTCTCTAATGCTAAGTACAGTATATTTAATTCTTTCCGCATGTTGAGAACTTTGGTAGTTATAGGACAGCCAAGTATAATTCTGAGTGCTTCATTTTGCATTTTTTCCTGCCTATCAATACTTTTGCCATTTTGCAGGACCAAAGCTGGTGCATGATAGTCTATCAGAGACCTTATATACGCTAAATACATCATTCTTGCTATTCTAATATTAACACCATATTTCGGGCTGTACACCACTACAGTTCTGAGAGCCCTGAGCCTGTCTCTACACTGTTGATGTAACTTATTGACTGCAGTTGAGGTACAAGAGACAGAGACACCAAGATATTTGAAAGAAGAGACGTAGTCTATTGGTATGTTGTCTATCTTAAGTTTTCGTGGTCCACTTTTGCGGTTGCCAATTTGTCTGTTAAATACCTTAGTTTTAGCAGCGTTGATTACAAGACTAAGGCTCTCACAAGCTGTATGTATACAATTTAAGACTGTTTGCATTTCGTGGTGGGTTTTAGTATGTACAAGGATGTCATCTGCATAGCTGATAGTGATGTTTGCCGGACTAGTTGGGATTGATTTTAGTAAAGCATTAATTAGAACATTAAACAAGGTAGGACTGAGTACTCCTTGTGGGGTGCCTAGTTGCATTACTTTAGTTTCACTCTTGTAGCCTTGGAAGAGTGCAGAGGACTTCCGGTTGGTAAGGTAGCCTTGTATCCATTGTAATAAATGTCCCACTATATCCATTCTCGCTAATTCATGCATAATCACTTCCCTGTTAGCAATATCAAAGGCATTTTCTGGGGGGAGCCCCGTCGGCTCCCCAGAGCTATCCCAGGCTGATATGCTAATGTCAGACTTTGGCGTCAGTCATGTGTATGGAGTTCTTAGGCCTACCGGGGACCACGGCCAGAACCGGGCCCCCTCAGAGAGGCAAGGGGAGCAATGGCCTATAGAAGCCCCCTTGTGGTTGGAAGCATTCTATGTCTGCCATCGACCGGAACAGGCATCCAGAAAGGTAAGCGCCTCAAAACAAACCCCTATTCTGGTTAAAATTGCTACCAAAAACCGAACTAGTGGATAGAACTCCCCAACCGAAAACAAGCAAACTAGTGTGACGTCACACACCGCCGCGCCGTCGTCTGCGCAGCTCCCCCCTCCCCGGGAGGGGGAAGGGGGAGCCCCAGACCCCCCGCGCTGGCTACCCACACCTCAGTTCTTGAGGCTGATG